ATGCCACTCAGAAGGGATTCCGATTAGGGTCCACTCTACTCCAGCACGGCCCCCTTAACCTAACTGATAACATCTGCAAAGAAAAATCCCATTTCCCAAAACAGGGTCACATTCACCAGTCCTGGGGCTAAGGCTTCAACATGTTTGTGGGAGACACAACTCAATCCACAATTGTAAGTAATATATGGAAAATGGTTACCTTAGTTAATAATTCAAAAAGAAAGAAAGTAAAACAACACTCTAATATCACTTTATACTAATTATAATTAATATCCAGTCTGGCAACTTTGTGGCAGAAGTGACACATTTGCACATTGTTTTTGGTAATTTGTACCAATACACACGCTTTTAGAAAACAACATGGCCATAAATATCAAGACATAAAAATACTCACATCTCTTGACTCATTCTCTGGAATCACCAAAGGAAGTTATCCAAAAGAGGAAAAAAGCTATACCCAAAAAGATACACATTGTAGGGCTTTTTTTAATAACAAGAATTGGAAACGTTTAACAATGAGGGATGGTTAACTTACCCATGGTACATTAGCTCTGAACTACCATAATACCACAGCTATAAAATAGTACTGATAAAGAGAAACAGTATGGGAATGGGTTTATCATAGAATAGTAAGTGAAAAATATATACAATATAAAATTCTATTCATACCCTGATTATAATCACACTAAAATGTGTCTCCAGGTGGACAAAGACCTTCTTCCCCCCACTCAAAAACAAAAAACAAAACTGAAAACAGTTGTGCTTGGGTGATGGGCTTATAAGGTTTTGATTGAATATTTTTTTCTGTAATGTTATCAGAGTATTGCTACAATGGACACAGCTGGGGAAGACGGAGCCCACCACAGAAGAAGACACAGCAACAGCTACAGTGGGCATCGCTGGTGCCCAGCGTCCATAGTAAGCTCCCACACAAAGAACCAAATCACAGGCAGATTTCCGTGCAGCCTCGGGGATGCTGTCTTTGGCTCCGGCCCGGCAAAGATTTTCCATTTCCCCCTCAGTCCCCTCATTCATGCTTAAGGAAGAAATCACAGCTACCAGGCAGGGTGACAACAGATGTCCAGGCGCTGAGCCATCCATAGTTGTTATTTTTCATTCACATGGACATGTGCCGGATCTAGCAGACGAGAACCAGACCTACCCTCTTCCCTATGGGTTTGTTTCTTTCTTTCTTTTTTTTCCCTGCTGCTGCTGCTGCTGTAACAGCTAAGTGCCAATTATCTCCCAAGTGTGAAGGCAAATATTGTGACAGCCCAACAAGCTCTACAATGTTAGAGGACACTGGTGGGGATGATCGTCTTTCCTGGCTCATGTTTATTAATCCTATCAGCTCTCATTAAAGGGGGGACCTAGTCTGTGCAAAGCTCGGTGCTGACACCTTCAGCACTTCACAGTCTTGAGTTTCTCATTTAACTTTTTGGCATTTTGTCTCAGGCTCCTCCTGGTTCCAGAAGTAAGGTTGCTTTTATTTGCCTGGGAAGAACCCCATTCAACCATCCACCCATTCTCAGACCCAGCTTGACACAGGGAGATACCAAGACCCCTGAGTATTGGAAAGCCTGATACATTGTTCTGTGGAGCTTCTGGAACAGCGAGATTAGGCCAATGGGTAGATACAAGGACGCACATTAAGCCATTTGACAAATTGTAAAAAAATGATGTGGCTCACTTGCAAGGTAATGTGCTCCTTGTCCTGGGAATGTTCAAACGGATATTAGACGGTCACCATCGGGAATGTTGAAAAGAAGATTACTGCATAGGAAGTTGGACCATAGGGTCTCTTAAAGAACAAAACCAAACCCGTTGTCATAGAGTCAGGTCTGACTCATAGTGACCCTATGACAACTGTGCCATAGGGTTTCCAAGGAGTGGCTGGTGGATTCCAATTGCTGAACTTTTGGTTAGCAGCTGAGCTCTTAACCACTGCACCACCAGGGCTCCACTAGGATCTCTTATGATCTCTAAATACTTTTCTGATTTTAATATCCTATTATTGCATGATTAATACAGCCAATGCATTCAAACAACTATAGTTAGCTGCCTGCCAAGTCGATTCAGACTCAGGGCCACCCCATGTGTGTTCCATAGGGTTTTCAAGGCTGTGACCTTTCAGAAGCTGATCACCAGGCCTGTCTTCCAAGGCACTTCTGGGTGGGTTCAAACTGCCAACCTTTCAGCTAGTACTAGAGCACTTAACTGTTTGTACCACCTAGGGACACTACTTTTAACTATAAGGAAAGTAAAATAATGCATTTTTTGGAACTTCCCTCCTCTGTCTCATGGATTAAGAAATTGAGGTTTGAGGAGGTTAAATGACTTGCCCAGGGCCTATTATCTAGCTCTCCAATCTCCCACTACAGGGTGATCTGAGATGCCAAGAAGACCTTTCAGGACAATCGGCCTCACACTATAACTTCTTGAGGCCGTCACAGGCTTGTACCCACCATGCTGATCAAACCACCTTCAAGGAGGAGCAGCTCCTATATGAGTAAAGGGCAAAAAGGATTCCAAAACAAAATGGGGCCACTGCAGAAGAGAATGAAGTTTACAAGGCAAGGAGTAACTGGGTTTTAATGGAACTGGACAAGCACAAAACCACTCCAAGTCAATTCTTCTTCTTGGCACGGAGTCGTGCCCAACCTGGAAGGCCATATAGGACCACAACAGGGTCCAGGGGGAAGGAGACCTGAAGAGGAGGGGTCAGCACACCAGAGAGGAAATTACAGCAAAATTTGGAAATGAATTCCCAGTCATTTATAGCATGTAGCCTTGGCCTAGATACCCTCTGAGTTACAGACACGTCCTCTGCTCAGATTTTTCAGAATAAAATATCTACAAGAAAAACAAACTGTTTTTGCTAGTATTGGCCACCCATCAATGGATAACTTCCATGGGTAATTTTACTAACAAAGTCTTCCCCTTGATTCTGTCTTACCCAGGACAAAACACCCGCTTCTGGGAGGAGGGAAAGGAAAGAGGAAAAGATGGTGAAGGGCAAAGAAAACCCATCCTGCCACTTGTTAATTAATATCCCTCAGGCACCAAGTACAGTGATAAGTTAATAATCACGAATTTGGGCATTGGTACATGGACCTCACCCCTTTCCAACAAACATGACTAAGGGCAATTTTATCACCAGAGATCTGAACCAAGTTTGGGCCTGTGAAAATCCTGGTCTCCGCCAACAGAGAAAATGTCAGAGAGGGCTCTTTTTAACATTGTTGTTGTTGTTGTTAGGTGCCATTGAGTTGGTTCCGACTCACAGCAACACGATGTACAACAGAACACTGCCCAGTCCTGTGCCATCCTCACAACCATTGCTGTGTTTGAGTCCGCTGTTGCAGCCACTGTGTCAGTTCACCTGCTTGAGCGTCTTCCTCTCTTTGGCTGACCCTTCACTTTACCAAGCATGATGTCCTTCTCCAGAGACGAGTCCCTTCCGATAACATGCCCGAAGTACAGAAGACAAAGTCTTGCCATCCTCACTTCCAAGGAGAATTCTGACTGTACTTCTTCAAAGACAGTTTGGTTCGTTCTTCTCACAGTCCATGGTATATTCAGTATTCTTTGCCAATATCGTAATTCAAAGGCACCAATTCTTCAGTCTTCCTTAGTCACCATCCAACTTTCATATGCATATGAGACAACTGAAAATACCATGGCTTGGGTCAGGCGCACCTTAGTCCTCAAAGTGACACCTTTGCTTTTTAACACTGTAAAGAGGTCTTTTGCAGCAGATTTTCCCAATGCACTATGTCGTTTATTTCTTGACTGCTGCTTCCATGGGCGTTGATTTTAACGTTAAAAGACACAAATACAATTGTACCACCCACAGGCCCACTGAGCCCTCCGACACTCCATTCTTCCCGGCCTCCTCTTCCTGCCACAATCGTGCCTCCAAAGATCATCCCCTGGGCGATATGGGTTGGCACCTCAATGTACTTAGCAAGATGCTTTTTTAATAATTGATTTAGTCACTGTTTTTTTTGTCAGAGACGAATTTTTTTCTTTGTGCCTCATGGTGTCTTTAGCCCATTGAAAGCATTTCTGACACATTTCCTTTTGTAGTTTTTAAAAAGAAGTAATTATATAATGGCCGACTTCTTTTGGTTACATAGGAAATCAGCATCTCAGTAGCTTCTACAGACATGCTTAATAAAAAAAACCATCAGAAAGGCAAAAGAGAACCCTATCATTATTTTCTGGTTTCCTCCTTAATTATAGACGATCGTTCTGAAGGAGGGGGACAGCTTCTGTGACAAAAGTTGTCTAGCATTTAATGCAACAATTTAGAACCAGACTGAATGGACCAACGTTATGTCAACCTGCAGATGCTCAACAAAAACTGCTTAAGGGGTGCCTGGACGGAATTGGAAGCTAATTCAGCCTTTTCTTCTTTCTCTTCACTCAGAAAATAGGATTTTCTTTTCCTCGCTTCAGTCAGATTAAGGTAGGGCTATCTCAAAGACTCCTTTGAAAGCATGCTACATTCCAAAATTTTTGCTCTTTTTTTTCCTATGTAACACAAATATTACCACTGCCATAAAAACCACTGACATTCTCCGGCTTTCATACTCCTCCGTCTCCTGCAATCCTATTTCCAGAAAATGAATTCCGAAGTTCTCTTTTGCCGCCCTTGCTCCCAAACTAACCTACAGCCCTAAGTCAGAAAAACGTGCTCATGTGCCTGATGTAGATGTGACACAGACACACAGAAGCACTCCAGACACACACACACACACACACACACACACACAGGGTCAAGTCAAACACCCCCAAATCCAGACCAAAACTACCGCTGTCTAGCAAAGCCACAGAATGCCACATGGAAGCAAGACATCAGATGTTTCCCTTTCTTTCTATTCAAGGTGTTCATTTGCCTGTCTGTGCCCACAATGCAAAGCTGAGGGGAAACTGGTAATGACGCCTTCAGGAGACCAACGTCAGTCCCACCAATATCCTTTGAGGGATGTACTGACCTTTTACCCTGTAAATGTTCTCCTTCTGTGTATTCAGTGCTGCCCAGTAATGCCCTGCAGGCTCTGTGACGGAGTGGAAAGGGTCTGAAACAGGAGTCAGGAGAAGGTAATCCCATCCCTGTTGTCACCTACATGACTTGTAAATGCGTCTTTCTGCGTTCTAATTTTACCTGTAAAACAAGAGGACAGATACCTTCCTTATCTACCTCACAATGCTGTTTGAGAATCATATAAGATAATGTCAGTAAGAACACTTTCAAAATTATAAAGTGTGCAGCAAATTCTCCACAGTTTTCCACGGAATTAACCCCAATAATGTGGATCTACTTTGCTACTGTTCTACGTTCGTTGTTCAGGTAGCACCATCGTTTCTTTCTCTCCCTGTGACAGCTGTTAAACCGAGCTGAGATTCTACCAAAGTCTCCACATCTTCAAGACCATGTACTCTTCAGCGGCAGTCTATACTTCTCCAAAAAGGCAAGACGGTGAACGTACCTCGACGGGGTGGGCCTGGGGGCATTACCTTAATATGTTCCTCCCCAACCTCTAACATCGCACAGATGCGAATATCTAAGATATGAGGCAGGCATTCACTTTTCTCTTGGTAAATTATCCTTTTGTATAAAACATCGATAAATGTTTTTAATTATTTTATAAATTTCATTTAAAAATTCAAACAGTAGAGAAAGATATAAAGTCTCCCTCCTTCCGAAAGTCTCCGACTCTGCTATCCCTACCCAACCTATCCTCCTATACCTTCAGGGTAACCACTGCTAACAGCTTCATGCATTATGCATAGTCTGAATAGTTTTAACACACACAGGATAGCTGTACACATACTGCTCTGCAAGTCAGTTTTTTTTTTTTATGTTAGACAGCTTTCCGTATAAATGTGTGTGTGTGTGTGTGTGTGTGTGTGTGTGTGCATCTATTTATTTATAAAACCAGTTGCTATAAAGTCAATTCTGACTTGTGGCATCCCCATTGGTGTCAGGGTAGAACTGTGCTCCATGGGGTTTTCGGTGGTTGATTTTTCAGAAGTAGATTGCCAGGCTTTTCTTCCTAGGTGCATCTTGGTGGACTTGAACTGCTTTGCTTTTCATTAGCAACCGAACACATTAACCGTTTGTACTACCCAGGGACTATATATATACATATTTTAATAGCTGTAAACCGTTGTCTTGACATACCATAATAAATACAGACTGCCAACTTTTGATGGACATTTATGCTATTTCTTAGTGTCCGTGTGTTTATTTTTGCTACTATTAGAAAGGAGAAAAGGACATACTGTACACATAACTTTGCACATTTATGTGAGTTTTATCTATGAGATAAATTTATAAAAATAGAATTGGTAAGTCAAAGGAAGTAGGCATTTTAAATTTTTATAGATATGGCCAAATTTATCTTCAAAAGCTTGTACCAATTTGTTCTCTCACAAATAGTAGTGTGCATGGGTATCTGTTTACATATATTTTAGCCAGCTGAGAGGATTATCAAACTATGTAATCTTTGCCATTCCAATGGGGTAAAAATGCTGATCTGTCCATTTATTTGGGGTATCTTTCATTACCAGTAAACCTGAATCTCTTTTCATTTCTTCATTAGACAGAGTCATTCTTTTTATGTGACCACTCTTTTTATGTCCTATGCCCACTTTTCTCTATATTTTTGGACTCTTTCTTTTCTGTTTACAACAGCTCTTTAAGAATCATGGGAAATGAATCTTTTTGTTACAGTTTTGCCATTATTTTTCTCCAGGCTGTCTTTAGCCTTTTGACTTCCATTACAGTATGATTTCCAAGTAGAATTTTTATTTTTATATAGGGAAATCTGTCTATCCTATATGGTTCTAGGTTTTATATCATGCTTAGAAGGACCATACCCATTTCAAGATCATTTCTAAAATTCACAGAAGTTTTATACTAGTGTTGTTTTAATAGATCCATGTTTTTACATTTAAACATTTTATCCTTCTGGAATTTATTTTAGTATAAGAAAGAAAGCAGGCATGAACCTTTACCAGGTGGAACATGTACTCTTACCAGGAAACCACACTAAATTTAAATACCACAAAATGTATGCTGCACATATACCCCATATTGAGGTGAGGGCTCTGCTACACACTGAGACCTCCCGGGCCGCCCTGGCCTGCGTGAGCCCTTTATTTTGTGTACATGATTACCTTGAAGTGTGCACAGCATACTGATTCAGGTCTCAGTTTCTCTGCTGGTATAAGACCTAGTGAATGCAATGATATTGGTTATCTTGGTACCTCTTTATTAGGTTATTTTCCTAATTCAAGGATTCTAACCTCTTTTGTGCTGTGGGCATCTTTGGCAGAATAATATTTTTATTTTTTTTATTAACGTGCTTTAGATGAAGGTTTACAGGACAAACCAGCTTCTCACTAACCTGTTAGTACACACACTGTTTCGTGACGCTGGTTACCGACCCCAGGACATGTCAACACGCTCCCTTCTCGACCTTAGGTTCCCTATTACCAGCTTTCCTGGCCCCTCCTGCCCTCCAGTCCCTGCTCCCAGGCCAGTGTGCCTCTTTAGTCTCCTTTTGTTTTATGGGCCTGTCCAATCCTCCGCCAAAGGGTGAACCTCAGAGGAGAACAGTATTTTTAATGTACATAAGATTACAAAGGAGGTGCTGGGTGGCACAAGCAGTTAAGCGCTCTACTACTAGCCAAGAGGATGATGGTTCAAACTCACCCAGAAGTGCCTTGAAGACAAACCTGGCAATCTGCTTCCAAAAGGTCACAACCTCAAAAACCTTATGGACCAGTTCTACTCTGCACGCACAGGGTGGCCATGAGTCGGAACTGACTCAGCGGCAACTGACAACAGCAACAACAGGGTTACAGAAGAAACAAATCACAGGTAGTGACCAACTTGCAGGGAACCCTGATAGGGCAGTGATAAAGCGCTCAGCTACTTATGATGGAGTTGTTGGAACGGAGCCCCAGGTAAAAAAAAAAAAACAAAAAAACCATTGCCGTCAAGTTGATTCTGACTCATAGCAACCCTATAGGACAGAGTAGAACTACCCCATAGGGTTTCCAAGGCTATAAATCCTTATGGAAGTGGACTGCCACATCTTTCTCCCGTGGAGCGGCTGGTGGGTTTGAACAACTCCGTCATAAGTCAGTTCTGACGTAAATCAACTACCTCTTTTCTAGTTTTCATTATTATTGCTTTTTATTATTAGTAGCTCTATAAATCTGTTCTTTGAACATCTGTGAGTGAACATCTGAGAATGACAACATCAGCAAATGTCGTGCGCAACACTGAATGTAGTACATATTACTAACGATAGCATGAACAACATCAACAAAAGAACAGACAGTCCGAAGTGTGGTTCGTCATAACTCAAATACATCATAAGTTGGGAACTACCTGCACTTTAAAATACAGTTCTATCCACAGACCCTTTGGTACACGGACCCCAGATTCCTTAGAAGTTCCTTCTCCTGACATTCCAGATACACAGCTTCTCGAAGGCAAACGCAAACCCTTTCCAATGAACAGACTTTCTCTGCTGCTGCCAGCTGATCTCTCTGAATCTCGAGTTCCATCCGCCTCAGGACCTCCTCTGCAACTATAGACGCACACTTACTCCACATCAAATGAACCACTGCCAAGTCCCTAGGAGGTGGACTGAGTTAGAGAAAGTGAACTTACAAAACAATACCAGTTGCTGTTGAGTCGACTCTGATTAATGGCAACCCCATGTGTGTCAGAGTAGAACTGTGCTCCATAGGATTGTTCGATGGCTGATTTTCAGAAGTAGGTCACCCAGCATTTCTCCTGAGGCACCTCTGGGTGAACTTGAACCTCCAACCTTCTGGTAAGCAGCCAAGCACACCAAACATTTGCACCACACAGGGACTGCCAGGTGAAACAATACCACCTTCTTTTGTTATCTTTTGTTTCCATCCTTACGCTCATTCTCTCCCAAACCTATGCCAGTATCTCTTGCTGTATTGTTTTTCCTACAAGAATGTGTTAGTTATCTAGTGCTGCTATAACAATAATACCACAAGTAGATGGCTTTAACAAAGAGAAATTTATTTTCTCACCGTGTAGGAGGTTAGAAGTCCAGATTCAGGGAGCTGGCTCTAGAGGAAGGCTTTCTCTCTCTGTCGGTTCTTCAGCATCTGTCTCCATCTGTTCAGTCACCCAATTTCTCTATGTTACATCCATGTATTACAGTTCTGTTATACATACGCAAAAAAGAGCCTAGTCATATGTCTTTGTATCTACCATGAATATGATTATTTTATTAGATCCTAAATGAATGTATCCTTTCCCATGTCACCATATTGGAAGTCCTCCTGATTCTTGCCTTGAGAAATGAGTTGACATCAGAAGATCATCTATAATGAACTATCAACTGGGAGCATTTTGAGATCAAGAGAAGTAGAAAGTGGATTTGTGTGATGAGAGAAACCTTTGTGAATGAGGTGTGAATTGAGCTGGGCCCCACACAAAGGGAAAATCTCACCTCCAGACACCACCAGGAAATATGGAAAGTGATTCCATCTGGTTTATCTGTGATGTGTAATATTATTGGATCATTGGCCTTTGGCTTTGCTCAAAGCCAGCTCTAACATCTGGATTAGAGATGTCAGAAGCCGCAAGAGCATCACCATACTGAGAATTCTATAGCTCATGTGAGAGTCTAAAGCCCATTTCACCTTTGACTTCAAAGGCCAAAAGAAAATCAATAAACAACGCTTTGACTCTTTGGTGGCTAGAGGATACATAAGTCCCCAAAATTTTGTCTTTCTCTCTTACCAACTCTATGTTGAAAGAATATCTGAAAGGTAAGAACTATGAAAAAAAAAAAAAAAAGCTGAATTCCTTGACAAAAGCAAATGACATTAAAAAGAAATTCGACTCTTCTCTTAGATGGGCCACTTGGACTGTAAACACACAGACACAAAAAGAATTTTAACCTCTAAGTCACAAAATTTTCACACAACTGGAACATTAAAAACAGATTATAGACATGAAAAAACAGTATTTTAAAATTTTAAAGGCCAGTCAAGTAAAGGTATAATTATCATCAACAACAATAATACTTTTCTTCCCTGAACCTAGCTCAAAATCATAAAAATTTCAAGTTATGAACCTCAGAAATTTTATTTTAGACCTTTTTGTCTAACACAGAATTACTCGTTCCTGTAAGCTCAATAAAAGGCCAAGGAGAGACCATAAAGTTCATTGTTATGAATAAAGGTCATTGCTATGAATTGAATTATGTCCCCCAAAAATATATGTTGTAAATTCTAACCTCTATACCTGTAGTTAAAATCCCATTTGAGAACTGGTTGTCCTTGTTAGGTTAACGAGGCAAGATTAGTGTAGGGTGTATCTTGAGTCCATCTCTTTTGAGATATAAAAGAGATTAAACAAGCAAGAGAAACAGAGATGGGGAAAAGAGAGATGCCAAGCCACATGAAGATCACCCAGGAGCAGAAGCTCAGAAGAGACAAGGACCTTCCTCCAGAGCCGACAGAGGGAGTAGCCTTCCCCTAGAGCCAGCACCCTGAATTCCACTTCTAGCCTACTGAACTGTGAGAAAATAAATTTCTGTTTGTTACAGCCATCCACTTGTGGTATTTCTGAAATAGCAGCGCTAGATAACTAAGATAGTCATCAAGTCTAACTCTCTCCTACAGATGAGGAAATAGAGGATCAGAAAGGCTAAGCTAAATACACAAGGTCACTGTGAGTCAGCACAGAGCTGGGATAAAACACAGATCTACTAACACAGTGATCTCTCTAATGAACCCTTGCCACCTACCAGAAATAAATTTACAGTTACGCTGTCTATACACAAAACCCTGCTGGACTGGCTGTCTTCCACTTCTCCCTCAGAAGCTCCATCTAGCCTTCCCCACTTTGTTCTCTGCCCCAGGAGAATGACTTGTATGAACTACCTCAACTGTCTCCCTTACCCTCTGGCTTCCAGTTCTGTTTGGACAAAGGGAAGCCCCAGAAGGAGAATGAAGGGACAAAAAAGAGAGAGAGATCAGGATATTTATTCCCTGAGTTCCCTCAAATGTGGAGATTAGAGCTCCACGCAGCTTTGTTCATCTCCCTCTCTTCCCTTTGCAGACCTGACGGTGGTAACAATGACCAATTACTAGCTCCAGGTGCTGCATTATCCATTGTTTTTATATATTTTAGTCTGTCATATTATAGCAGCTTGCATGTTGCTATGACACTGGGAGCTATGACACTAGTATTTCAAATACCAGCAGGGTCACTCATGCTGGATAGGTTTCTGTGGAGCTTCCAGACTAAAGCAGACTAGGAAGATAGGCTTGTTGATCTACTTCTGAAAATTAGCCAACAAAAATCGTATGGATCACAACAGAATATTGTCCGATATAGTGCTGGAGGATGAGCCCCCTAGGTTGGAAGGCACTCAAAATACACAGTAGCCAAAAAGATGGACTCTCAAGTATACCAATGATTGCGAAGATAGAACAAGACTGGGTAACGTTTTGTTCATGGAGTCATTTGTACATGGCGTCATCCTGAGTAGGAGCTGACTCAACAGCAACTAGCAACAACAATTAACAATCCACACTCCCATAAGTGGTTCCTTTATTAAACTCTCCTAGCACTGTACTTTTGCTTAGGATATAGAAAGCTACAAGACAACGCAGCTCCACACTAACAATTTGAGATAGACAAATAATCTATAAAATTATAACTTTTCTTGAGCCCACCTGAGAACTGAGATCACAAGGCAACCAGGTAGACTGAATTGTGATGAGTGACAAGCCCCTATAAGGATAGATGGACACACAAACGACTTCTCTTTTGGGACAGCACAAAAGGAAGAGGCAGCTGACATAAATGTGGATAAGAAGAAAACAGCTAAAATTTTAACAAATTCTCAAAGGTCAGGTATGGGCTAGCAAGACTGTATGGAATCTCTGGAACCCCTTATGCAAGTGGAATCTACACCCACCTCCTAGTTCTTTTTCATGGACCTTCCCCAGGTGTCTTTGAGAAAGACTGGGGGCAGGACAGGAGACCAGCAAGTCCCTTTCAGTGGTGCAGACATTCTGGTTGTGAACATCTGCTGCTGTGGTGGTAAGAGCACAAAGTCTCGCCCACTTATCAGACTCTTCTTTTATATAAGGCAAAATTTTTAAGCTGCTAGAGGAAAAGCAGGAGACTCTCTCACTCTCAGGCCCTGGAACGATCCCTGTTTCTAGGAACGGAAGGAGGCAGAAGCTCTCTGCTATGCGGGAGAGGCAAGAAGCCCTCTCTGGCCCAGGATCTTGCACAGATACAAACAGCGGTCTCTTACAACTGGGTGTGGGGTGGAAAGTGTGCACAATACTAGAGCCCTTACAGATACAAGGTAGTTTAGCTGCAATGGGGAGAGGGGCAGGAATACTGAGAAAGGCCCACCACTAAATCCCAAGGACACAGGGTCTGCCTAACACTGAGAATGGACAAGAATCTTCCCTCCCGCCAGCACAAGCTTTGCACCAAATAATAAGCAACAGCAGTCTATTTCTGAGGGAGCAAGGACAAGAGTGTGAAAAGAGACCCTATCTGTGGTACAGATATGTTGTTGTTGTCGTTGTTGTATGCCATCAAGTTGATTCTGACTCATAGCAACCCTATAGGACAGAGTAGAACTGCTCCATAGGGTTTCCAAGGAGCAGCTGGTGAATTCAAACTGCCAACCCTTTGGTTAGCAGCCTGAGCTCTTAACCACTTCGCCACCAGGGCTCCTTACAGATGTGTTGAGCTTGTTAAAAGCTGAAGGTGGAGCATAGAGAAAAAAAATCCAGCACCCTAATCCCCATATTAAACACAAGTAGTACCACTGAAAGAGACTTGCTGGTTTCCTGTCCTGCTCCCAGTCTTTCTCAAGAACACCTGGTGAAGGTCCATGAAAAAGAACTAGTGAGTGGGTGTAGACTCCACTTGCATATGGGCTTCCAGGGATTCCATACAGTCTTACTAGCCCACATCAGACTGACCACTGAAAGAATTTGAAGTCTGTGGTTTACTGAAGGTAATTACATCAACAAATAAATTTAAACTAAGCTCATCTAAGAGACATGCCCATTTGAGGACATAAACATTATTTATTTCAGTAACTACTATTTTTCTACACATAATGTTTGACATTCAATAAAAAATTATGCTGTTGCCTAAACTGTGAGAAAATAAATTTGTTTGCTAAAGCCAAAAAAAAAAATTACGTTTTTGTTATTAGATTTTGTCCGGTTGGCTACTACTCATAGTGACTGCACCATCCTCACAATCGTTGCTACATTTGAGCCATTGTTGCAACCACTGTGTCAATCCATCTCACTGAGGTTCTTCCTCTTTTTTGCTGATCCTCTACTACCAAATATGATGTCCTGCAGGGACTGGTCCCTCCTAATAACATGTCCAAAGTATATAAGATGAAGTCTAGCCATCCTCACTTCTAAGACAGACTTGTTCATTCTTCTGGCAGTCCGTGGTATATTCAATATTCTTCACCAACACCATAATTCAAAGGCATCAATTCTTCTTCAGTCTTCCTTATTCATTGTCCAGCTTTGTTATGCATGTGAGGTGATTGAAAATACCATGGCTTGGGTCAGGCACACCTTAGTCCCCAAGGTGATGACACCTTTCTTTTTAACACTTTCAAGAAGTCTTTTGCAGCAGATTTGCCCAATGCAATACATCTTTTGATTTTTTGACTGCTGAGTCCATCTCTTTCCACAGATGTAGTCGATTTGATTCCTGTGTATTTCATTCAGTAAGATCCATGTGTATAGTTGTCATTCATGTTGTTGAAAAAAACGTATTTCCAATGAATAAGTTGTTGGTCTTGCAAAACTCAATCATGCTGTCCCTGATGTCATTCCTATTACCAAGACCATATTTTCCAACTACTGATTCTTCTTCTTTGTTTCCAGCTTGCACACTGCAATCAACAGTAATTATCAATGCATCTTGATCGCATGTTTAATAAATTTCAAACTGCAAAAGTTGGTAAAAATCTTCAATTTCTTCATCTTTGGCATTAGATTGGTGGGTAAATTTGAATAATTGTTGTATTAACTGATCTTCCTTGTAGGTGTATGTTTATTATCCTATCACTGACAGCGTTGTACTTCAGGATAGATCTTGAAATGTTCTTTTTGATGATGAATGTGATGCCCTTCTTCTTCAATTT